GCAATGGGCTGGACGGGAAGCCGGGAGCCACTGGCCCCCCGGGGCTGCACGTGAGTCGTGGTCCCTGCCTGGCGCCCCCTCCCTGCGCCCCTCTGAGTGGCCCTGGCCTCACGGGGTCTTCTTGGTGTTGATGTGCTCTGGGCGGGTCGGGTGCGTCTCCCAGGACCTGCCTGGGGGGGTGCTGCTACCCTGCAGGCCGTGGGTCCATAGCAACCAGGGTCCCTGACCCCATGGCCACTGTGGGCTCCCTGACTGTGGGTCTCTCCTCAGGGTGCTCCGGGCAAAGCTGGGGACCCCGGGAGAGACGTAAGTAAGGGGAGGAGTCGGGGGCGGGGCCGGGTTCGCCATCATCAGAGCCCAGTGTCCGGCTGCGGGGAGGGAGGTGGTCGGGTCCTGTCCTCAGGGGGTCCAGTCCCCGGCAGGTGTTAGCCGAGCCCCCCCTTCTGGCCCCTGCCCTGGGGTCCCTTCCCGTGGAGTTTCAGCTGTGGCCGTGGGTCTCTACACTGGAGGAGCATCTTTTTAAAAAATATGTATTGATTGATTTTAGAGAGGAAGGGAGAGGGGGAGAGAGAAACATCCATGATGAGAGAGAATCGTGGATCGGCTGCCTCCTGCACGCCCCGCACTGGGGATCGAGCCTGTAACCCGGGCCTGTGCCCTGACCGGAATCAAACCGTGACCTCCTGGTCACAGGTCAAGGCTCAACCACCGAGCCACACAGGCCGGGCTGGAGGAGCATCCCGATGGGGTCTCCCAGGCCATGTGTCCCCTCAGTCCTAGCAGAGGCTTTTTCCAGGGGCTTCCGGGCCTCCGAGGAGAACAGGGACCTCCCGGCCCCCCCGGCCTCCCTGGACCACTGGTGAGTCTTGGTTTCCTGGTGCCCTTCTGCCCCCCGACCGCCCACACCCCAGCTCTGACTTCCGGCCAATGGTCTCTTCCCACAGGGAAAGCCGGGCGAGGACGGCAAGCCAGGCCTGAATGGGAAACACGTGAGTGTCAGGGCGGACGGCGAACCTGCCGAGAAACACCTGCACATGCACACACACGGGACACGCAGGCCACCCGCACATGCACACACACGGGACACGCAGGCCACCTGTACACGCACACACACGGGACACGCAGGCCACCCGTACATGCACACACAGGACACGCAGGCCATCTGCACATGCACACACACGGGACACGCAGGCCACCTGCACATGCACACAGCCCAGGGTGCAGGCACGAAGTGCACATGCAGACACGCTGAGATGGGCAGACACGCCCCGTGTGTGCACACAGCGGCTGCAGTGAGCTCAGTGGGCACACTGGTGCGCTCAGATGGGCCGACACACCCACACCCACAGCCGTGGCTAGGGTAACCCACAGCCACGGACCAGGAGCCACAGACACAGGCTGAGTGAGCAGACACGGGGAGGCCACACCCAGGGCCCGTGGAGACACGTCACACAAACACCTCCACACGCACTCAGACGTGCTAAGACAGACCCAGGGCCGCATGAGGACCCGTGTTGGGACTTGGTGAGACACACACCCAAGGCTCTGACATGTACACATTCTGGGACATGGACACGTGCATTTGTATCCATAGTCACTCACACACATACATGCGCCACATGACTGAGATGATACACATAAGAGTTGTAGACAAGTCACACAGACACTTCTCAAGCCCCAGGGACGTACCGACATGTGTTCATCCAGTGCGTGCGGCATAAGCCCCGCCCACACGCACCTACCCAGTGTTGCCCATGGGACACGCAGACCCACGCACAGGCACACGTGCTGACACACAGACTGGGATATGTGCAAGCGGGGGGTTACGTGTAGGAAGCCAGAGACGGAGCACATGTGTAGTTAAGGGTGGAGCCAGCAGACCTGCACAGGCGCACCCGCTGGCGTGCAACAGCTCACACGGATGATCACGGGCCACAGGCCACAGGCCACGCTCCGAGACCACGGAGGCTGGGAGCTATGGGCTCGGAGGTCACCTGACCGCTGCCCAGACGGTCAGATGCTGGAGCTGTTTGGGCTGATGTGTGTCCTCTGTCCACAGGGAGAAGCTGGGGACCCCGGCGAGGACGGGAGGAAGGTAAAGCCCTGACCCCTGGGCCTCGCTCGGCCCCACACCAGGCCTGTGGCTGCAGTGCCCTTGTCTTCCTTCCACAGGGAGAGAAGGGAGAGGCGGGCGCCCCCGGCAGAGAAGTGAGTGCGAGTCCTCTGCAACCTCTAACCCATGACCCTGACCGACTTGGGAGCAACAGCGGCCATGGCGTCCCCGCCGGACCCCTCCCCGGGCCCGCGGTCCTGTGTGACCCCCGTGTTCTGTCATGTCTCAGGGTTTCCCTGGCGTCCCAGGAAGTCCGGGCCCCAAGGTGAACCCTGACGCTGACCCTGACCCTGACGCTGACGCTGACCCTGACCCTGGGATATGGCTCTGGTCGTTCTGGGACCTCAGGGCCTGATGCCGGCTGCCTCCACAGGGTCACGATGGCCCCAAGGGTGACCGCGGAGCCCCTGGGAGCCCTGGCCTCCCCGGCCCCCCGGGCCTC